TTGGACTGGCTTCGGCCTGGACCTGTTAGGACAAGTTATGACCAGCTTTGACTAGGCTCTGACCAGGCTCTGACCAATATTTTGACCAGTGGCCTATGAGGGGAAACAAGCCCACGTTAATCGACCTTGTGTCATATCTTGATTTAGTGTGGCCATTCTGGCCTTTTTTTTTGGGGGGGGTTTTGACAATTAATGGATCGTTTCTTGGTGGTAGACTGAGATTCGACAAGCTTTGACTAGCTTGGACTCCTTCGGCCTGGACCTGTTAACAAGTTATGACCAGCTTTGACTAGGCTCATGACCAGCTTGGACAAGATTATTTTGACCAGTGGCCTATGAATCAAGGTCTCCCAAATCGACCTTGTGTCATATCTTGATTTAGGGGAATTTACCATTCTTCCCGGCCTTTTGGCTGGGGTTTTGACAATTAATGGATCGTTTCTTGGTGGAAGACTGAGATTCGATCAAGCTTTGACTAGCTTGGACTGGCTTCGGCCTGGACCTGTTAGGACAAGTTATGACCAGCTTTGACTAGGCTCTGACCAGCTTGGACAAGCTCTGACCAATATTTTGACCAGTGGCCTATGAGTGGAAACACTCGGGTCTCCCACGTTAATCGACCTTGTGTCATATCTTGATTTAGTGGGAATCAAGTAAATACCATTCTTCCCGGCTTTTTTTTTTGGCTGGGGTTTTGACAATTAATGGATCGTTTCTTGGTGGAAGACTGAGATTCGATCAAGCTTTGACTAGCTTGGACTGGCTTCGGCCTGGACCTGTTAGGACAAGTTATGACCAGCTTTGACTAGGCTCTGACCAGCTTGGACAAGCTCTGACCAATATTTTGACCAGTGGCCTATGAGTGGAAAACACTCAGGTCTCCCACGTTAATCGACCTTGTGTCATATCTTGATTTAGTGGGAATCAAGTAAATACCATTCTTCCCGGCCTTTTTTTGGCTGGGGTTTTGACAATTAATGGATCGTTTCTTGGTGGAAGACTGAGATTCGATCAAGCTTTGACTAGCTTGGACTGGCTTCGGCCTGGACCTGTTAGGACAAGTTATGACCAGCTTTGACTAGGCTCTGACCAGCTTGGACAAGCTCTGACCAATATTTTGACCAGTGGCCTATGAGTGGAAACACTTGGGTCTCCCACGTTAATCGACCTTGTGTCATATCTTGATTTAGTGGGAATCAAGTAAATACCATTCTTCCCGGCCTTTTTTTGCTGGGGGTTTTGACAATTAATGGATCGTTTCTTGGTGGAAGACTGAGATTCGATCAAGCTTTGACTAGCTTGGACTGGCTTCGGCCTGGACCTGTTAGGACAAGTTATGACCAGCTTTGACTAGGCTCTGACCAGCTTGGACAAGCTCTGACCAATATTTTGACCAGTGGCCTATGAGTGGAAACACTCGGGTCTCCCACGTTAATCGACCTTGTGTCATATCTTGATTTAGTGGGAATCAAGTAAATACCATTCTTCCCGGCTTCTTTTTTGGCTGGGGGTTTTGACAATTAATGGATCGTTTCTTGGTGGAAGACTGAGATTCGATCAAGCTTTGACTAGCTTGGACTGGCTTCGGCCTGGACCTGTTAGGACAAGTTATGACCAGCTTTGACTAGGCTCTGACCAGCTTGGACAAGCTCTGACCAATATTTTGACCAGTGGCCTATGAGTGGAAACACTCGGGTCTCCCACGTTAATCGACCTTGTGTCATATCTTGATTTAGTGGGAATCAAGTAAATACCATTCTTCCCGGCCCGGCTTTTTGGCTGGGGGTTTGACAATTAATGGATCGTTTCTTGGTGGAAGACTGAGATTCGATCAAGCTTTGACTAGCTTGGACTGGCTTCGGCCTGGACCTGTTAGGACAAGTTATGACCAGCTTTGACTAGGCTCTGACCAGCTTGGACAAGCTCTGACCAATATTTTGACCAGTGGCCTATGAGTGGAAACACTCGGGTCTCCCACGTTAATCGACCTTGTGTCATATCTTGATTTAGTGGGAATCAAGTAAATACCTACAATTAATGGATCGTTTCTTGGTGGAAGACTGAGATTCTCAAGCTTTGACTAGCTTGACTGGCTTCGGCCTGGACCTGTTAGGACAAGTTATGACCAGCTTTGACTAGGCTCTGACCAGCTTGGACAAGCTCTGACCAATATTTTGACCAGTGGCCTATGAGTGGAAACACTCGGGTCTCCCACGTTAATCGACCTTGTGTCATATCTTGATTTAGTGGGAATCAAGTAAATACCATTCTTCCCGGCCTTTTTTTTTGCTGGGGTTTTGACAATTAATGGATCGTTTCTTGGTGGAAGACTGAGATTCGATCAAGCTTGGACTGGCTTCGGCCTGGACCTGTTAGGACAAGTTATGACCAGCTTTGACTAGGCTCTGACCAGCTTGGACAAGCTCTGACCAATATTTTGACCAGTGGCCTATGAGTGGAAACACTCGGGTCTCCCACGTTAATCGACCTTGTGTCATATCTTGATTTAGTGGGAATCAAGTAAATACCATTCTTCCCGGCTTTTTTTTGCTGGGGGTTTTGACAATTAATGGATCGTTTCTTGGTGGAAGACTGAGATTCGATCAAGCTTTGACTAGCTTGGACTGGCTTCGGCCTGGACCTGTTAGGACAAGTTATGACCAGCTTTGACTAGGCTTTGACCAGCTTGGACAAGCTCTGACCAATATTTTGACCAGTGGCCTATGAGTGGAAACACTCGGGTCTCCCACGTTAATCGACCTTGTGTCATATCTTGATTTAGTGGGAATCAAGTAAATACCATTCTTCCCGGCTTTTTTTTGGCTGGGGGTTTTGACAATTAATGGATCGTTTCTTGGGAAGACTGAGATTCGATCAAGCTTTGACTAGCTTGGACTGGCTTCGGCCTGGACCTGTTAGGACAAGTTATGACCAGCTTTGACTAGGCTCTGACCAGCTTGGACAAGCTCTGACCAATATTTTGACCAGTGGCCTATGAGTGGAAACACTCGGGTCTCCCACGTTAATCGACCTTGTGTCATATCTTGATTTAGTGGGAATCAAGTAAATACCATTCTTCCCGGCTTTTTTTTGGCTGGGGGTTTTGACAATTAATGGATCGTTTCTTGGTGGAAGACTGAGATTCGATCAAGCTTTGACTAGCTTGGACTGGCTTCGGCCTGGACCTGTTAGGACAAGTTATGACCAGCTTTGACTAGGCTCTGACCAGCTTGGACAAGCTCTGACCAATATTTTGACCAGTGGCCTATGAGTGGAAACACTCGGGTCTCCCACGTTAATCGACCTTGTGTCATATCTTGATTTAGTGGGAATCAAGTAAATACCTTCTTCCCGGCTTTTTTCGGCTGGGGTTTTGACAATTAATGGATCGTTTCTTGGCGGAAGACTGAGATTCGATCAAGCTTTGACTAGCTTGGACTGGCTTCGGCCTGGACCTGTTAGGACAAGTTATGACCAGCTTTGACTAGGCTCTGACCAGCTTGGACAAGCTCTGACCAATATTTTGACCAGTGGCCTATGAGTGGAAACACTCGGGTCTCCCACGTTAATCGACCTTGTGTCATATCTTGATTTAGTGGGAATCAAGTAAATACCATTCTTCCCGGCCTTTTTTTGGCTGGGGGTTTTGACAAGTAATGGATCGTTTCTTGGTGGAAGACTGAGATTCGATCAAGCTTTGACTAGCTTGGACTGGCTTCGGCCTGGACCTGTTAGGACAAGTTATGACCAGCTTTGACTAGGCTCTGACCAGCTTGGACAAGCTCTGACCAATATTTTGACCAGTGGCCTATGAGTGGAAACACTCGGGTCTCCCACGTTAATCGACCTTGTGTCATATCTTGATTTAGTGGGAATCAAGTAAATACCATTCTTCCCGGCTTTTTTGGCTGGGGGTTTTGACAAGTAATGGATCGTTTCTTGGTGGAAGACTGAGATTCGATCAAACTTTGACTAGCTTGGACTGGCTTCGGCCTGGACCTGTTAGGACAAGTTATGACCAGCTTTGACTAGGCTCTGACCAGCTTGGACAAGCTCTGACCAATATTTTGACCAGTGGCCTATGAGTGGAAACACTCGGGTCTCCCACGTTAATCGACCTTGTGTCATATCTTGATTTAGTGGGAATCAAGTAAATACCATTCTTCCCGGCCTTTTTTTGGGGGTTTTGACAAGTAATGGATCGTTTCTTGGTGGAAGACTGAGATTCGATCAAGCTTTGACTAGCTTGGACTGGCTTCGGCCTGGACCTGTTAGGACAAGTTATGACCAGCTTTGACTAGGCTCTGACCAGCTTGGACAAGCTCTGACCAATATTTTGACCAGTGGCCTATGAGTGGAAACACTCGGGTCTCCCACGTTAATCGACCTTGTGTCATATCTTGATTTAGTGGGAATCAAGTAAATACCATTCTTCCCGGCCTTTTTTTTGCTGGGGGTTTTGACAATTAATGGATCGTTTCTTGGTGGAAGACTGAGATTCGATCAAGCTTTGACTAGCTTGGACTGGCTTCGGCCTGGACCTGTTAGGACAAGTTATGACCAGCTTTGACTAGGCTCTGACCAGCTTGGACAAGCTCTGACCAATATTTTGACCAGTGGCCTTTGAGTGGAAACACTCGGCTCTCCCACGTTAATCGTCCTTGTGTCATTTCTTGATTTAGTGGGAATCAAGTAAATACCATTCTTCCTCGGCTGATTTTTGGCCTCGGGGTTGAGCGACGAGCTCCCCCTCACCACCTACGCTGACCACACGAAGCAGCAGCAGCCAAGGCCAGCATCAGCAGCAGCTAGAGCCAGCAGAGCAGTCCGGCCTCCTCATCATCAGCAGCAGCCAGAGCCAGCAGCAGCCTCCTCATCATCAGCCAGCAGAGCAGTCCAGCTTCATCATCAGCAGCAGCCTCAGGCAGCAGCAGCAGCAGCCTATCAGCAGTTACATGATACTGCTATCCTCAGCATGATATGCACTAGCCTATCATGATATGCACTGCCTATCCTCGGTTAGATATGCAATAGCTATCCTCGGTTACATGATATGCATGATATGATATGCACTAGCCTATCCTCGGTTACATGATATGCAATAGTCTGCCCTCGATTACATAATATGCAATAGTCCTTTCAGGACTAACCTAGCCGCGTCCTTTTATTAGGACTACCAAGCTGCGATCCTGCACGACAGTCTACCCAAGGACGAACTGACTACACCACAGCACTGTCCGCGTCGATCCTCTCTCTCTGCAAGCGCCGACGCGCCCTTTACTCAAGTACAGACATCCAGGGATCGACTGGACCTCGAATACCGCTGTTCCATCCTGCCTACCTCCAAGCTGTCGCCTTGAAACCTGACAACGCTCCTTCAAGACTACACGACCGAACCGAAACGATTATCTGTATATATTCGTGCCAGATTTATTTAATAAAATTTGGCTTAAACTTTTACATCCTCGTTTTTGTTGTCCTTGCTTCGATCGTATTATCTTATATTATTTTTCCGTTTACGGGGTTAACAGTCAACCTGCTTAGCGCTGCAACAATTGGTGACCCCGATATTTACGATCGAGCAAGATGGCAACTGACGAGTGGGAACAGAACACTCTCATAAATGTGGCAATGCCACTCACAAACCTCCCTCCGTACACCAAGAACTGGTTTTTGCAGCTGGAAGCCATTTTCTCGGTACGGAGAATAACATCTTGTGACACGATAACTAGGCGTCTATTAAAGTTGATTTGTAAAATATGTATTTTATTTTAATAAATTAAGAATAGAAAACGGTTAAGAATAGAAAAATAGTTTAAAAACATGTGTTTCGTTTAACAAAAGTACTAAGGAAAAAAAAAAAAGGAAAAATAAATAAATAAACGCTTTTTCTTTTATAAGTAAATTTGTTGGAAGAGAAAAGGGCATCAGATTACTGTTAAATCCTACCAGTCATCCAATAAAATATTTGACTAAGTGATTAGATGTGATAAAAGATAAACGTTTAGGAAATAGATTTTAAATGACCAGGTCAAAAAAAAGCCGTCTTTACTGTATCTCGACAACACATTAAGGAAATAAAGAAAAAGATAACAGAATTTTCCTTTCTCCAGGCAATAAAAAAAGAAAAGGGCTATAAAAACATCCGACGGCCTTCACACAAGAAGATTTGTTAAGATAAAAGATTTAAAAATCCTGGAAAATACATCGTTGGCCGATTACAGACAAGGATTTTTACACATCAAAAAAGCAAAATTTAAGTACCTTGAAATTTTTAACTTACAGTCGCCAATGCTTATCTTTTGTTTTTCACCCGGTGGTCAATAAACTTCCGATTAGTTCAATATAAATACGAGTGATTTTTCCGAGCCGGGCAGTTCAGCCGGTGTGTGCTTGAAGTAGCCGTGTGTCAGGGACACACCGAAGAAGTGAAACTCCGTTCGTCTGAGTCGGTCGGTTCGGCATTTGATCTCCATTAGTTAGAGTTAGAGCTGAGTGTCACATCGCCTACCCCAACGGCAAGACTAAGTCTGAACAAAATAAAGCTTGATTAAACTCATTTAAGTTGTGGAAGTTCGTTCCTTCAATGCTTTATCTTGTGCCCCCAGCTTGAGACTACGACTTTTTCAACCAACCCCCGGTAACATCACAGCGTGGAGAACGGCCGCCGGAGAAATTGTACGGAGCTCACAAGGGGTGTTACAATCTCAACAAGCAAAATTCGCCAACGGGGTACAAGTTTTGCCACCTTCAGTTGTCGACGAAGTAGCCGACATCTTGGAACACGTACCCGAGCAGGAGCCATATACTCGCCTCAAGGATGCGATTCTGAAACAAACCGGCCGTTCGGACGAGGAACTGCTCCGGGAACTTTTTACCCACGTCACCAGGGGCGACAGAACACCCTCACAGCTTCTACGCTTCATGAGGAGCCGACTGGGGAAACATTCCATGGCCGAATCAATCTTGCGCGAACTGTGGATGGACAACTTACCCACTACCATAACGCAGATATTGGCACCAATCGCTGATAACACTCCACTGGACCAGTTAGCAAACTCCGCTGACCGCATCGCAACTAAACTGGACCAAGGAGTGTGCCGTCAAACGCCCAGACGACACACCAGCCAAAGAAACGGATCTGGAAAAGGCGGTAGCTGACCTGCAGCATCAGCTGCAGGATATACGAATGCTCCTTTCCCGCACATCGAGAGGCCCGATGCCGGCGACCGGCGGTTGGCGACGGAGAGCACGGAGTACCAGCAGGGATCGACGAGTCGACCCGGAATTATGCTGGTACCATCACAGATTCGGCACTAGGGCAAAAAATTGCTCGGCACCCTGCAAATACAGCTCCAAAACCAAGTCGGAAAACTAAACAGCCGGCGGGTAGGAGCGGCAGAACCCCCCGGCAAAAACATACGAAGCCGCCTTTTCTACGTATGGGACCGACGGAACAACATAAAGTTTTTAGTGGACACAGGAGCAGCAATCAGTGTGATACCCCCCAAAGAACAGCAAGACCGAAAGGCGACCCCGTATAAACTCCAGGCAGCAAATGGCTCGACGATCGAGACATATGGAGCCAAGACACTGACTCTTAACATCGGTATGCGGCGCGATTTTACCTGGACTTTCACCCAGGCAGACGTAAAAACGCCAATACTCGGGGCAGATTTCCTGGCCCATTATGATCTAGCCGTTCACATGAATACGAGGACTTTATCAGACAATACCACGAACATTGCTGTTAAAGGCACCCTCTCTCGACACAACACCACTGGAATCAGTGTGACAACTTGCCACAGACGAGAGTACATCGAAATCCTAAACAGATACTCGGACCTCATTCAACCACTCGCAGGTACCGGTCCGGCAAAACACCAAACACAGCACCATATAAAGACCAGTGGACAGCCAACATTTTCCCACCCACGACGACTTCCTCCTCATAAGCTGGAATACGCCCAAAAGGAGTTTAACAATATGCTGCAGGACGGATTCATACGACCCTCCGATAGCCCATACACCTCACCCCTACATCTCGTACCTAAGCCGGGAAGCACAGACTTTAGGGTATGTGTCGATTATAGAAGATTAAACGCTACAACCATACCCGATCGCTATCCGGTCCCCACACATTCACGATTTTTCGCCTCAGGGTTGCAGGGGACACTCGCGTCTTTTCGAAGATAGACCTAACTAAGGCCGTAACCACCAGATCCCCATAGCTCCGGAGGACATTCCAAAGACAGCCGTAACCACTCCCTTTGGTCTCTTTGAATACCTCAAGATGCCCTTTGGCCTGAGGAATGCTGCACAAACGTTCCAACGCTTCATAGATGAGGTACTAGCCGACTGCTCGACAATTCTCTCCCCGTTGACAAGCCTCATAGAGCGGAAGAACAAACAAATTACCCTAGAGGGAGATACCTTGCGGGCTTTCGAAACGGCAAAGACAGCGCTGATAAACTTCACAAAACTCTCATTCATCGAAAACGACCCGGAAACAAGAATTTTCCTTACAACAGACGCTTCCCGACGTTGGAATAGGAGCAGTAGTGGAGCAGCAAGTGAACATGACGAGACAGCCGATAGCCTTCTTCTCAGCTAAACTCTCTGCAGCCCAGAGAAGATACAGTACCTTCTCACGAGAACTCCTGGCGATCTACCTGTCCATACGTCATTTTCCACATCTTCTGGAAGGCAGACATTTCACTATCTTCACGGATCACAAACCACTGACCAACGCGATGAATGTCAGCGCAGACAAGTATACATCCCGTGAAACACGTCACCTCGACTACATCTCACAGTTTACGACGGACATCAGACACGTCCAAGGAAAGAACAACACCGTCGCAGACACATTGTCCAGAACAGACGTCAATACCATGGATAACGACGTTTGGAGCCAGGAGCTGATAGCCGACAAACAAAAAGACGATACGACGATACCTGACATCATTAAGGAGACTTCTTTGAAACTGCAGGAATTCCCGTGTCCGTTCAGCGATAAAACTCTTTTCTGTGACACCGCACTGGATACCCAAGACCGTACATTCCTCCATCTCTTAGAAAAAAGTATTTCTCATCTCCACAATCTATCTCATCCGAGCAAGCGAGCAACCGTCAAGCTTATCGCCGATCGATTTGTGTGGCCCAACATGAATTCAGACATTAGGAATTGGGTCTCAACCTGCATACAATGTCAGAAATGCAAAATTCAGAGGCACACAAAATCACCAGTTGGAACATTCGCCACACCCGACGCACGTTTCAGCCACATCCACGTTGACCTCGTCGGGACCACAATTTCAGCCTCTACCAATGTGCCAGGGGTACCAATACCTTCTAACAATCATAGACCGTTTTTCGAGATGGCCAGTCGCTGTGCCGATTAAGGACATTTCCGCTACCACAGTTTCTAAAGCCATTCTCACCAACTGGATTACAAACACCTGCGATTTTGTTTTTGTTAGGAACGACGCCGTAAAAAAACCTCTCACACCTAGCTACCAAGGCCCTTTTAAAGTTCTGAAGCGTTCTAAGAAATTTGTCACGATCATGCGCGGCAAAAACAAAGATACAGTCTCCATCGACCGACTTAAACCAGCTTGGTTAGAGGAAACTTCTCCCGAGCCAGACTTACCAACAACGACGGAAGATGAAACAACAACACCAGTCGTACGAAAAAAAATCAGGCAGAAGAGTTCATTTCCCTGCCAAACTAAAGACTTACATTTTTTTTGTGAATTGATCACGATCAATCCTCTAGGAAGGGGGCCTTATCGCACCCGGCCGGAAGTTACTGCCGGCTACTCAAACATCTAAAAGCGTCGCCGCGGATAACATAACGAATGCCGTTAACTTCCGGTGACTAAGCGTTTTTCAGTCAACGTCTCACACAAACTAAGAAAAAACGAAACATTTACATATACTAACTTTCCTAACCAAAAACAATTACGAGAAACTACTTTATATACACATGGTGTCCGAATGGAACCCATGTGTACAGCCAAAAAGTAGAAGGTAATTTTCAGTCATCACCCCAAGTATATCGCTGACAGGCTACGTTGCCGACCTCAGCGGATTTTTTTCCACCAAATTATTCTCCTCGGCTAAATTTTGGCCTCGGGGTTGAGCGACGAGCTCCCCCCTCTCACCTACGCTGACCACACGAAGCAGCCAAGGCCAGCAGCAGCTAGAGCCAGCAGAGCAGTCCGGCCTCCTCATCAGCAGCAGCCAAGGCCAGCAGCAGCTAGAGCCAGCAGAGCAGTCCGGCCTCCTCATCAGCAGCAGCCAAGGCCAGCAGCAGCTAGAGCCAGCAGAGCAGTCCGGCCTCCTCATCAGCAGCAGCCAAGGCCAGCAGCAGCTAGAGCCAGCAGAGCAGTCCGGCCTCCTCATCAGCAGCAGCCAAGGCCAGCAGACATCAGCAGCAGCCAAGGCCAGCAGACATCAGCAGCAGCAGCTAGAGCCAGCAGAACAGTCCAGCTTCATCATCAACAGCAGCGACGCAGACATCAGCAGCAGCCTACACTCGGTTACATGATATGCACTAGTCTATCCTCGGCTACATGATATGCACTAGCCTATCCTCGGTTACATGATATGCAATAGTCTGCCCTCGATTACATAATATGCAATAGTCCTTTTCAGGACTAACCTAGCCGCGTCCTTTTATTAGGACTACCAAGCTGCGATCCTGCACGACAGTCTACCCAAGGACGAACTGACTACACCACAGCACTGTCCGCGTCGATCCTCTCTCTCTGCAAGCGCCGACGCGCCCTTTACTCAAGTACAGACATCCAGGGATCGACTGGACCTCGAACACCGCTGTTCCATCCTGCCTACCTCCAAGCTGTCGCCTTGAAACCTGACAACGCTCCTTCAAGACTACACGACCGAACTACTACAAACGATTATCTGTATATATTCGTGCCAGATTTATTTAATAAAATTTGGCTTAAACTTTTACATCCTCGTTTTTGTTGTCCTTGCTTCGATCGTATTATCTTATATTATTTTTCCGTTTGCGGGTTTAACAGTCAACCTGCTTAGCGCCGCAACAATGCCAAGTTTTGAAATCCAATAGAGATGAATTTGAAATATTTTAAAAAAATCGACGTGTTTTTAAGATCCCCAAAAAGGCAACGTTTTGTTTTTTTTTTTTTTTGTTTTTTTTTTTTTTTATAGTGATAGAGAAAATAAACATTTTTAAACAAATATTTCATTTTTACTGATATATTTGGAATAGTGAGGTTATTTCTGTTGGGTTACTTTTTTTTTAAATTTCGTATATTCATTTTAAACTTCACGCATTGTGCAATCAAGGCAAGTGAAGCTTCTGCGCACTATTATCGAGGTAAATGTATGTAAACAAAAACAGTAATGGCGGCTGTTCTGTTGTTGCCACAGAGGTCGAACCTACATTGTAGATAACTTCTAAACGGTAATCGGGCGCAGACTTTTATTGTTATTTTCGAAATAATCAGGCAATTTCATACCATAATGGAACATTTTCATTACAATTGGCTTTTGGTAACTATAATGTAGGTATCTCCACTTTTTTTTAGAAAACAGCATAGTGTAGTGAAAAAGGCCAGAAACTTAATAAAAATAAAGTTTTATTGTCAAAATGTTTATGTCATTATTAAAATGAAAGACCAAAGTGTTTTTTGATTATTTTTTTAAATTTTTTAATCCTTTCTAACACGTTCAAGATTTTGGTTAAAATTTTGTTTTTACGTCATCAAGGTGGCATGACTTTTTTGTGCTTTTTTTCTGTTGAAAATACATTGATTTGGAAGTCCTTGTAAAAATCCAATAATTGTCCGATTCTAATTAAATTTTCAAGGTTGATTCACAAGTGAATTAAATTATTTTTTAAATTTTTTTTAGAAAAAGTTAGGTAAAAATATTTTTTTTTTTACATGTCCCCCCCCCTTACTTAATTTCATGAGATTTCGTAAAAATCCTTCAATTTCCTCAATTTTTTATTCATTAAAAATAAGACACCTTGGAGAATCTAAATCACCTAATTTTTTTTTTTGCAAACTTGCACTATTCTAACTGAAAATCTGCTCTGAATTGAAAAATAATAAATGCAATAAAACTATATAATTATTTAATTAGAAAAGCTTTTAATTGCTTTTGTAAATATTAAGGACATTATTATCTGAAGAAATAACAATTTTCCGGTGAATAACGAATTTTTACAAGAATTTTTTTCATTTTTCTAAAATTTAAATTATAATAATTTATAATAGTTTAAAAATCGTGTAAAATTCTGTATTGGGTTATTTCCTGGATGTGATGTACTAAGGAAGTGGAAACGAAATTTACGAATACAAAATTGATAAGAATAAACGTAATTACGCTACTTTTCTATTTTTAAAATATTTTTTTTTTTTTACTTAATTTGTTCCTTTTATTTATGAAAGGCTAAACGTGACATTATTATGAAAAGGTCACGTGATCTAAGATCACGTGACCTTTTTCTTTACAGAGAAATTATTTTAAGAAAATTTTATAGTATTTTAATTTTATTTATTTTTGCATAAAGCATCTTCGAAAATCAATAAATTATTAGATAACTGCGGAAAATATGTTCATTTGTAAAAATTACTAGGTAATTAAAAAAAAATGTGTTCAATAGATTTCGTAAATTTTATGTCAATTCTAGTCAGCCGTACTAGCTGTTATTGCTTAGTCACTCAATCGCTTCTGATAAACAGAGCCGATCAATAGCAAATGGTTGTATATTTATTTTTTATGATATAAGTAATATTTATTTCAAATCAGATTGATTTAACTTTAAATTTTCTAATTTTACTCAAATAACGCGTCAGATTTTTTTGGAAGAGTTTAAAAAAAACGATAAATTTCTTTGTTTACAAATTTCTTAAATTAAATTTTCTTGACATTCCAATCTGTATAATTTCTATCTGAAATAAACCACAATATTTTACTTACTGGAAATAATAAATTTAGCTTAAAGCTTATCTTCAAGAATGCTTTTTCATTTTAAAAATTCATTTTTTAAACCTTAGGTATCGAAAATTTATGCCGAAAGAGTGGAGGTACCTACAATACAAATTAAAATATTTCTGATTCAAAATATAGAAATAAACACTTTTTTCCAGCTTCCGATTAAAAATATGACCATTTATTAAATTTTTATACGTTTTTCAATTTTCATTTACTTATTTTTAACTTAGGTGTCCGAAAATTGGAGATACTTAGTGAAATGATTATTACAGCCAAAAATAATAATAATAATAATAATAATAATAATAAAAGAACTAATAAATATTAAATAGTAATTAAATAAAAATTAATTAATGAATGCGAAAAAGTCAGAATGAAAGACGATTTCTAATAAAATTATTTTTAGGACTTCGCATGAATGTGATTTTATTTTTTAAAATTATTACTGCACGTAAGTGGGTGAATGAATTTTTGCAATACAATATGAAAAATTAAATGGAGATCAAATATTTTTTAACATTTAGGTCCACAGCTCCATCCTTCCTGCTAAAAGAACTCTCATTTCGTTATCAACCTTGTTCGTGTAGGTAAGTAGATTGGTGGTGACACAGTTAATCTCGTGCTAAGGCAGCGGATGTGTTCGTTTTCTCACGCGCTTGTGACGTAAGTGCATCATGGGATTAATAAACACGTGATCATACTTGTGTTGTTTTTCTTCAACAGAAACGATTGCCGAATAAGTTCTATCAAATTTTTGAGTAAGTATATTTATTTAGATTCTTCACACAAATTTGTTTAAATTACTTACATTGTCCAAGTACGTTGTTTCATTTTCTTGTCCATTCATGAAAATGACCATTGTTTTTTTTTTTTCAGTTCTTAAAGTAGATAAAAAAAAGTTTATCAAATCAGTCTCTAGTAAAATGACTTCAAGAAGTAATCATTAAATCTACATGAGCAAGAAGATGGACATAAAAGGATAAAAAACTTGGCTAAAAATGAATTTATATTGCATTTATTTCTAAAAACTGATGAATATTTCCCGAAAGAATTGTGTTCTGGTAAAAATTATATCTTTACTTTTTAGAACCAATCGGAGTTACGATAATTTTTATTTCTGGCGATAAGTAAATTAAATTTGCAACATTATTTTTTACGTATTTTTGCATATGTTTTTTGTACTTATGGAAAATAATTCTGGTAATTGTTAATTTTATTTTCAAATTAGTAAAACTTTTAAAAAAGGTATTAAGAAAATTCGAATTAATTTTTTTTAGCAACTATCCTTTGAAAACTTTTTTGGTTTTTTTCTTGTTTTTTTTTTACAATATTTTTCAAATCTGCGTATTAAAGCTTAATTTAAATTAATTTGTGGTTGAGGATAATGTGTAAAAAAAAAAGATTTTTTAAATCATTTAATTTTAATATTTAAACAAATTTGTTTTGTAAGACCTTTTATGTTACTAATTAAATTTTTATTACACGTCCAAAGTTATCATACTGCATCGCTAAAAACAATGTTTCAATTTTAGTATCAATAAACAATGCCTTTGTTTCCGCCTCTCTATGTAAAAAAAAAAACAAATTCCGAGGTCAAGTGTGTCCCGCTGTGAGGAGTGCTGTGTCAGGTTCGTTAGCGGTTAAACAAAAATCTGAATTTTTTTTTTTTTTTTTTTTTTTTTTGCAGCTGTTTGAATTTGGTTATAACCCCCCCCCAAAAAAATGGGATCTAAATTTTCAATTTTTTTTTCTTTTTTCATCAAAACGTAAGTTCTTCATTTGTTCTTTTTTTCAAAAGAAACAATTTTGAAATTTTTTTCTAAAAACGTTTAGAAAATCTGCCAATAGATTAATAATTGTCATCCTGTAGGTTGGAAGATAGAATTCTATTCTAATCCTTAACTTAAAAAGCGCGCGAAAAAGTAAAGATACACGAAATGTCAATACTGCAGTAATCAAGAAATTGGTTTTTAACTTGAAATATATCTTCTTTTTTTTTTTTTTTTTTAAACCATATATAAACAATATTTAAAAAAATATAAATCTTTACTAAAAAAGAAAAACCTGATGAAATGATTGCTTTTAATTTTTAAAAAATTATTCTGAATTAAAGACCTATTGAATTATGTCATCTGATAGGGAAAGTAGTTGCTCAAAGGAATTATTTCCTTTTTGAACTTCTGTATAAAAAATAGTCTAAATGAAAAAGTTTAAATACTTTTATTCATGCTTGAAAATGGCATTAAACTTTAGTTTTTTTTATTCATCAAACATGTCTTAATAAAAAGAATTTATTATGAATAAGGATGAATTTCAAAATTGCACTGAAGAATACAATTAAATTTTTAAAATATTATTCAGTGTAGATTTTTTTCTTGTCCAATCTAAAACAAAGTTATCCATTTTATTAAAGTATGCAAGTGTAGTGGGGCCGTGGCGGTTACCACTTGTTGAGGGTTCATGGCGTGGCTGTTATGTTGTTGATAGAAGTCAGGCGTAGAAGAAACGCATGTAAGGTTCAGATACTCCTGCCCGCCGAGCCCAACTACATAAAAAGGTTGGACTTTGATTAAGTCCAAAGAAGAAGGCAAAGAAAGCAAACAAAACACAAGACCGATAATATATGTATATATACAAATATATATTAATAACAAGTTACAATATATGGAAACAGTACAAAGGACGAAGTGTGTGAATATTCTGTATGTGCGTGCGTGTGAATATTGTTATTAGCGTGTTTCCACGCTATCCCTTGTTAGCGCCTTTTATTTTTCGAGGTTGATAGCTGAAATCCTGAAGGAAAAAGAGTTTACCTCAAGGTGTCATTAACAGGCCTGAAGGAAAAAGAGATAGAGGCAAAGAGTCAGCGGCTATTTATAGCCAGGGAAGAGAGACCCCTGGTGAAAGGGTTAACTGAGTGAAGGTGTTAACTCCTACACAAATACTAACTCTCAAAAAAATATTTTTATGAGTTTTATTTAATAATTTTTTGTATAGGTTTTGGACGAATTTTTCGTATGGTCACACTTGATATTACAAATTTTATTCTTTCTTTTTTTAATAATTCTATTATAACATTGGCAATGTTTATTGACAAAAATTATAAAAATACTAGCAGGGACTACGTGGCATTGCTTGGGTTTAAAATACAGCTCGGTGCCATTAAACTACGCACCAATAAACCACGATGTCGTTTAAGACGCGCGCATGCTCAATAGACTCAAAAAAGTTTTGTCATGTTCATAGAATCATAATCATCAGTGGATTGCAATTTGAAACAAATTCAAACTTGATTGTGACATTTTTTAAAGTCTGATTTTTTTTTTTTCTGTATAATCTTTTAATAAATTCATTAAATTGAGTTTTAATATCGTCAGTATATTTGTATTTTCCTAGACATTTACCATTGTTTAAACTTTGGCATTTTACACTCAAGTTTGTGTAGTGGTTTGGATTAGCACTTTGCAGACATTTTGAGTGTGAAATATGCAGCTTACAACCTAACTTAAAAATTTCACATATTTACTCAACAGGATTTGCTTTAATATCGATAATGTGCTTTTCCAAATAATTTATATAATCTGCAGAGAAGAGTCATTTTAAATCCTGCTTTAAGGATTATTAATGGAAGCTGCTATTGCAGACAAATAACACCTTTCAACAATTTCAAAAAGTTTCAAAAAGTCCGTAAATCCTCTCACATTAAATTTTTGTACAAATACAGGCAAAATTAAAGTTTTATACAGTGTCTCTCTAGATATCATAACAATCACAACATTTTTATACCTAGATTTTACTACATTATATTGTTATATTATTTTTATTAATACATTACAATATAATGTATTGTAATGTTTTTATTCAAAATCTTAATAAAACTATAAAAAAATTAATTTTATTTTTTTCTTGTTAAAATCTCATGCATTTCCACCATCTTTTGCTGTTATCGATGATGGATCTATTGACATGGCGCTTTATAATTGGAATCATTTTAGTCCATCATCTTTCAAATTTATTCACATCGGTACAGATTTTTATGTGAAATTAATGGATAATTTTAATAAATGTTTTTCAAAACTGCCAATATTCAACTCTTAGTATTGAATATGCATTTTGCATGCTTAGCCACTGTGTTACCCATTTTTGCAGATAACTCCATGGACTTGATAACCTTTGTTTTGGTGGTCTAAGCTGGCAATCCTGATATTGTGGTTCACTTTTGATCTAAACTGTAGGTAGAAGTTTTGAACCCCAACTACTGCAGTTTATTGAGACTGACCTGTATGTTGAACCTACCCAGCAATTCCACTTCTTTACCCTGTTACCACCTCTCAGGACAGGAGGCAGAGGATGGATTTTAGGAAGCAAAATGTTTTGGTAGGTTTTGGTTGTTAAGCAGACCCAACAGTTTTTCTTGGAGGAACAGTAGAGATAATCAGCAATTGTCATCTTGGACTCACTTTTAAATTGCATATGGGATTACTGCAAAGACCTTGGATACACAATGTTTGATGTTTTGCCTCCTAGTGCTAGGATGTAGAGATTCTGCTGATCATACCCTTGAGCATAAAAGTGCCCATGGCTAAGAAAGGTGAAGTTATGTTGAGACCAACAACTGCCAGTGATTATCCTTGGGACTTATTAATAATCAATGCCCTGTTGGTGGTGCTTCAGAATGCGTCAACTGCACCTCTGCAGAGGGTAAAAGTCCCTCAATGGCGCCACCTGTTGGCCGTGGGTGGTGACCCGTGTTGTCTGGGGACAGGATCCTGGCGATTGAGCAATCCATGGCCCAGGTGCAAAAAGGACATGGCCCTTACCTAGGCTAGACGGGTGGTCGGAGAGACTCGATCCGATCAATCAGCTAGTCATGTCAAGCACTAATACTTACCCGCATTAAAACCCATTTATCTAAAACACATAAGATGTTATACAAAACCGGTCCGGTCTTTTACCACAAACAAGAGATAGATTATAAGTAAGTATTAGAAGGTGGTGGCAAGGGTCAATCTACTAGTAAGGAAAAGCCGTTACAGATAGGGTTTTTAATTGACTTTTTCATCAAAAACAGGTCAGGAAAACAAAGTGAAACCCGAAATGCTAACAGCCACTTACTAGTGTGAGTATGCCTTTCATTGTATCCCTGTGATAATAAGGCGAATGGGTTTCTCCCCTAACATCTCCCACTGATTGGCGCCGAGCAGAAGTAACTCATTTATATTTGGCATTAAGCCCCGACAGTTCCATTGTATAATTTTTTGAGTCATTCTGTCTTATTTGCATTTTGTTTTTTGTTGTGTTTTAACCCTTGACTTTCTTTCAGTTCTATTTGTTTAGTTAGAGATGTTCCTTTTGTTTTTTCTTTTGATTTATTTGCTCTTTGTTTAGATGAAGACTGTTCCCTTGTTTGAGATGGGATGATTGTTTTTTGCTTGTTTTTGTCGGGATTTTTTAAGCTTCTCTGTCTTGAATGTCTTTCTTGGCTATCGGTTTCCATCAGTTTGAAATTATTTTCATTTTCAATCAAATCAATTTCTGTTTTCTTTTTGTTGTGTTGATTTTTTAAAGGAGATTTCATTTTTGGAGGTGAGGAGTTATTAAATTTGTTTGAGGTGTTTGGGAGATTTGGCATTTGCTGTTGCTTGGATTGTAATTTTCTTTGATTTGTAACCTCTTTGGTTTCGTCGATCTAGTATTGGGGATTTTCCTTTAGATCTGATTTGGTATCGGTTCTAGTTGTTAAACTGTTTAAATTTTT